AATCTCACAAAGTATGTTCCTGGGGTCAGTCTACTCTGTCAGTGTCTGTATGTGACATTAAATGTGACTTAGGGTCTGGACCTTTATTGAGTAAACATCAACTAGGATACTGTTATATATAAACTGTATCTGTTTCAGTCAAGCAAAGGAGGAGTATAAAGTAGCATCTTGAAAAAAAGATTAGACAAAAATGAAGAAGTTCAGCTCTGAACAAATAAGATTTGTCACCCTCTCCAAGGTGTGTTATTATTTCTATTCGGACAGCTTACATTCCATGCTAGCATTATATTATATCATTGTAAAGTATGGGAAAGACCAGAAATACTTAATAAACTAGTTTAAAAATTTTTTAAGTTATTTGTTGGCTCTTTAGGAACTAGAGACTATAGATATTTCATTAAATACCTTTACTTTTTAATTCACTGAACCATATTACTCCCTACATTTTTTTCATTATATATCTAAACAACTAGATAAACATAGTAGAAGAGAAAAATTTTTCTGCTAGAAATCAACAATGACAACAAAAAGTCCCTGGAAAGTCAATATTTCAAGGAACTTAAGATGGGACCTTTCAAATCTTGTTGTTTGACATTAAGCAATAAAATCTGAAGCCCATTTCAAAGATGTACTAAATCCCCAGTCTGAAAGTAATTGTCGTTCCTTGTCCTGTATGTATATATCATCAGTACAACTAAGAATGAGTTGCAGCGAGGCCTGGACCACCGCCAAGCAATTGATTATTAGCTATTAAAAGGGAAATGTTTACTTATTCATGGCAACTAGGTTTCAGAAGGAAAGGCAAAGAAGTCTGATTTTAAATGCTGCTTTTTCTTTCTGTCCTAAGTCTGATCAAGATCATCCACTTCTTCTTAGAGGTATCAAAAGCCCATTTTTATTTTTCCTTTTGCTATTTTAACCAGAATACTGATAAAAAGGGGAGAGCAGTTGCTATGAGGCAAAGAAAAATGTCCTGGCAGTTGAGGACCCTCCATCTATCAAGGGGAATTTGCAATGTTGCCTCTCTTCAATACTGTATAGATTTGCAGGATTTTGTGAAACACTTAACCAAAATGGAAGGATTTAAAAACAGAATGCAAGATATAGATGCAATCATTTTTTTTTAAGATTTTATTTATTTATTTGAGAGAGAGAATGAGATAGAGAGCATGAGAGGGGGGAGGGTCAGAGAGAGAGGCAGACTCCCTGCTGAGCAGGGAGCCCAATGCGGGACTCGATCCAGGGACTCCAGGATCATGACCTGAGCCGAAGGCAGTCGCTTAGCCAACTGAGCCACCCAGGCGCCCAGATGCAATCATTTTTTAAAAATCAAGATACTTTAGTTTTATTTCAGAATTTTCTAGTCTTAAATTCTTAAGCACGCAGCAGTGATGATCATTTTGGATAATACTTTTGAAAAGGCGATTAATGCAGACTGCTTAAATATATTCACTATAGTGCAGATGCCTAATGATTAAAAACTCTTATTAGGATTGAGATGCACTACATCCAATTACAGAGAAACAAATACTTATCTAATTAAATAATAATATTCCCAAGCTATGTTGAGGTGCAAAATAAGTTCAAATGTCCAGAACACCAAGCAATATCTTAAAATCTAGGAAGGATATTCAGTTGGATGGTTTACTTGTGATACTAAGAATCTCTTATGAATCAGAGGCAATTTATATACAGATTTCCAATATGTGTAAAATTTATTATCTGGCCTAGTTTTTCCAACTGACCCCATATCAAAATAATTTTCTCCTCCCCCATCTTTGAGTCTGTCAGATATGAAGAGGCAATAAAGAAAGCATCTTTCACTAATAATTCTGGCTGTTTACCTCCTTCCCTCCATTACTTCAGAAGGCACAGTTTACATGGAACAAACTCCTGGAGTCCCCAGGCTCTGGCTCTTCAGAGAGAATTCAGATAAAGTCCCAGAGCCCAGCTGAGAGGAAGACTGGACTAGCCTACAGAGGCATTGAGGAAACTACAATGACACAGGGAAGTTGCAATGCTTTCTAGAACCAGGAGGTACAGAGTTTTCCTGGGATATTTAGGACACAGACTGGGACCCAGGAACACTGTTGCCAGGTTAGGGAAGGTAAGGCTAGAAGTAATATTGGGAGCTAATCCCAGAGCTAGATCCTTCTCAGAGCAGATGTGGGGGGCGGGGGGAGGGAATAGCTCTTCTTTGGGAGCCAAATACTAAGAGTAAAAGCAAATATTTGATGCTGAAGAGCTCTTAAGAATTGAAGAGTGCCATTTACTTATTTCTACATGTCAGTGTGGGCTTAGGATGTTAAATAGATTAAAAGGCTAAGAGAGGTCAGTCACTCCAGGAAAGACTCTTCTTTTGCATCTCCTGACTTGGTTCTCTGGTTCTCTTTCCAAAACTGTTATCTACCTCATCCCTACTCTTACGGCGTGTCCTTTGGAAACTCGGAAGATGGCACATCCTCTCCTAGAACATTGTGGAGAATGTAGAGTCAGAGTCCTGGGGATGAGTACCAGAAAGGCAGGGCCGGGGGGAGACCAAAGTTGCTGATTAACTCAACAAAGATAGATTTAGAAAAATTCCAGAGGTATGTAATCATAAAACTGGTAGGGTCCTTAGAAGTTACCATATCTGTTCTCCTCTGTTTCAGATAAGGGGGTGGGGAGAGAGGTTCAGAGTGATGAGGCCATTAGAGCTAGGTAGGGGCTGGGCTGGGATGCCAACTGACTCCTAGGCCAGAGCTCCTTCTCTCTGACACAGCCAAGAAGTTCAGATCCCAAATGGGAGTCTATCCTAATGCTGCCCTAGGATAGTCTTTGCCAACGCCCTCCTTCCACCTGTCTCAGGAAATGGGCTAGCAGAGTTTGCCAGGCATCCGGCTCTAGCTGGAGAGAAGTCCAGGAAGCCCTGGATCAGTCTGTGACCTGCCCAATCTCCGAGACGCTGGAGCTTAGGTGCTGGGGCGCAGTGGGCACCGAGTTTCCGGCTTCTGCCGCCCCCTGTCTACTCCTGGCTCCCTCTGCCGCCCATCTCGAAGAGGACAGCCAAGTCATTTCAATTTAATCTTATTTAAAAAGACATAACTAATAAATCTATTGCCGGGGCGGCAGAGAGACGGCCAGCAGAGTCGATCGTGCTCCCAATCCCATTGAACCCCATTGAAAACCATGACAACACGGGACAAGCTCCGATTTATCCCGGCGTGCTAAAGAGCTTTGTGAGCAGGCGTCAATCACGCATTATTTCGGACTGAACAAATGCAAAATCTTGACTGGAACAAATGCTTCCAACAGGTCCGGGGCGTCGAGCTCCATTTCCCCTTTGTCCGCGGCCTAGCAGTTGGCCTGTATTGGGGTTGCCTCCGCCCGACCACCCAGCGCGCTGCGCAGCCCGGGGCGCCTTGGGCACGCATGACGGGGAGGCTGATGGGGAGGGTGCACCGGGCCAGCGAGCCCGGGCCACTGCACAGGAGCCAGGTCCCAGTTAAGCTCAGGTGGAGCTAGGATTTCGGGTGCGGCCACCCAAGCGCCGCGTCCCTCACTAGAATTTAGCAACCAAATACCCAAGCCACGGCCGCAGAGGAGAGGCCTCTAAAAGTGCCCTCAATGAGCCCTAGACTGAAGCGGGACCCCGGGGGAGCCAATGGGCCAACAAAATGTAACCGCGCCTGACTCCCTGCGCCTTCTGCCTTGATCATTCGCTCGGGTGGGGCTGCGGGAACTAGATCTCAGAAAACACCCGCAGGGTGTCTTTTCTGCCCGGCGGGCCCAGTCCTAATTCTCCCAATCGGTCCAGTACCGGACTAGGCCTGGCAGCTGCCTGGAGCGGGAAGCCCAGGCCGGAGGCCTGCCCTGGGGCAGAGGCTGTATCCCCGGTACCGGGCCTGACATTGAGGCCACACAGCTGAAGCTCACAAGTGGCGCCAGAGGGTCTGGCGACGCCAAGGAAGCCGAAGGCCTTCATGGGCTCCCGGGGAAACGCCGCCGCCCGTGGGCCCTAGAGCGGGCCTGGGCTGGGCTCTGAGGAGCGCGGCCACGGGGGCTGGGCCCACGACCCGCAGCGGCCGGGCTGGGCTAACGGGGGCGGCACTAAGGACCTGAACAGCTTGGCCGGATTCCGCCTGCGTTTTGCCGGTCTGGGGAACCGGGCGCCGAGCCGGGGCTCCCGTACTACTTACTGCCAGCCCTTTCCCAGCACACCTTGAAGGGAGGAACGTTTGGGGTGTGGTTCCTAGAGGCTTTCAAAACCCTCGGCCCAGATGCCGGCGGAACCAGGTCACAACTCTGTGCCCGCCTGAAATTGCTCGCCTCTGATTCCTTAGAGGGGCCTAAACCAAAAAGAGAAAAGAGCGCGCCAGAGTTTAACGCCGCCTTGTAAATCACTTTCCGGATAATTGCGGGAAACGAACACTCTAGCAAACAAGCTCGAGGAATAAAGCAAACAGGGAATAAATTCCTGGGCGCTCATAAACCCACCCATGCCGCCCCCACCCCAGCCGGCGCTCTTGCGGGGCCAGGCCCCGTGTCAGCGCAGGAGGAGGAGGAAGCTGGGGCTGGGACGGGCGGGTGGTGACCACCGCTCGCCACCCAAGATGTTATTCATTGGTAACAATCCCCATTATCTGTCCCCACTTTGGGCTAATCAGACAGAATCACTAATGCCGTAGAGCTGCTTCCTGCCGCCTCTGGGAGGTAACGGGGCGCCGAGGGGCGGGGGACAGGGCGGGGCGCGGGGGGGCGGAGGTGGCACTTTCAGGGCTCGCTCGGTCTTTGGTCCAGCACTCATTCAGGTACTTAACACCCTGGAGAACCGGACCTCGGCTTTCAAAGCATCCCGCGTGGGAAGAGCTGTTTATATAAACAGATGCAGCTGTAAGCGCGCTAATATCCCGGCAGCCAGCGCATGGCGTGCGCCTCTGGCGCCCACCCGTAGCAGCGGCGTCCCGGCCGCCCCTCGGTTCCCAGCCTGCCCCGCCCCCGCCTCCTTCCCCTCCTTGGCCATGGCCACCTCGGGACGCCTCAGCTTCACCGTGCGCAGCCTCCTGGATTTACCCGAGCAGGACGCACAGCACCTGCGGAGGCGGGAGCCGGAGCTACGCGCTCCCGGGCCCGGCCCCTGCGCCACCTGGTTGGAATCCGAGCGCAGCCACTACCCCTGTGAGTAAGCGGAGGACCCGGCGGGAGTGGGGAGGCGGGAGCAGAACCACGCGCCCGACCCATGCGGGCCTGGGAAGTCAAAACCAGCCTTCGAACCAGAGGCTCTGTCCTCCATAAACCCCTATGCCAATCGTTCCCTAGTCAGCACATCCTGAGAGCAGATCCTTGCGCCTGGCACTGACGCCCGGGATCTGGGTTTCTGTTTCTAGAGGTCACAATATTTAAATATTTAAGAAACGGCACTTAAATGTCTGAAAACACGGCTACGTTCTCAGGCCTCGGTCTGAGATGGGCAGCAGTGGCGATCTTAGCTCTCCAAGGCTTTGCAACTATTGCAGTAGACCCGGACGTGGCCAGGGTTGGTGCCCCAGCTTGCGGTAAATTCGTCTGCTAGCGCAGCGACCAGTGTGGACTTGCTTTAAGAGGGCCCTGGCGAGTTTCTTAGGAGGCGCGGTCTCAGGTTGTGGTATAAATGCGGTCGCTGAATTTGGAGAGCTGGGTGTCCAGATGCGGGCCCAGGGAAGGAAACGGTCTCAGCCCTAAAGCCGCGGGCGAGTGGCAGCGCCCTCCGGCCAGTGGTTCCACGCGCGCGCGCGAGCAGCAGCCGGCGTCTCATCAGGCCGTGTCTCCTTTGCCGCCCCTAGCCTCGGACGAGAGCAGCCCGGAGACCAGCCTTCCCGACTCGTCGCAGCGGCCGTGCACTCGGCCGGTGTCTCCTGGCTCAGACGCTGAAAAGAGGAAGAAGCGTCGGGTGCTGTTCTCCAAGGCGCAAACGCTGGAGTTGGAGCGACGCTTTCGGCAGCAGCGCTACCTGTCCGCGCCCGAGCGCGAGCAGCTGGCGCGCCTGCTTCGCCTCACGCCCACACAGGTCAAAATCTGGTTCCAGAACCATCGCTATAAGCTGAAGCGCGCGCGCGCCCCCGGCGCGCCGGGGGCGGTGGAGTCGCCTGACCTGGCAGCCGCTGCCGAGCTGCGCGCCGCCCCGGGCCTGCTGCGCCGCGTGGTGGTCCCCGTGCTGGTGCGCGACGGGCAGCCTTGCGGCAGCGGCGATCTGAGCACGGCCTCCGCCCAGGCCAAGAGCGGCGCGTCCCCGGCCGCCAGCTGCCCTCTGCCAGGCTATGCCGCCTTCGGGCCTTGCTCGGCTCTCGGCCTCTTCCCCGCCTACCAGCACTTAGCGCCCCCAACCCTGGTCTCCTGGAACTGGTGAGGCCGTTGCGGGGCGCGGGCACCTCGGGCTACCCCGGACTTTGGAGTGGCTCTGCGGCCGAAGCAGGGCTGGAAGCCGAGATCCGGAGTGTTCCCCCGGCCCCACCTCTCTTCGGGCCCCATCTCCTTCGGCGCAGGGGTCCCCTGCCCCGCGCTCCCCCAGCCGCTGAGCAGGGAACTTTAGCCAGCATTTCCCCCTCTCCTCTTCCCTCGACCGCCAGCCCCAGAGCTAGATTTTTATTGCTTAAACCTTATTTGTATATTTTTAAATAGCTATTTGTATGGGAAGCAACTTATTTTTAAAGAAATAGAATATTTTCCTCCTTGTGGTGCGAGAATAAAATGTGTAGGGTTGGGTCCCCTGAGCGCCTGCCGGGAACGTAGATGGAAGCTGTGCTTTCCGGACCGGAGTTCAGGGCGCCAGTCCATTCTCCCCACCCCGGGCTGGGTGGAAGGGCAGGTCTCAGTCCCGACGCAGCTCTAGGAGGATGTTGGGGGAAGGGGTGGAGGGAGGGAGGTGCGGGGATAAAGCCAAGGAAACCCTGGGATCCCTGTCTGCGGGAGGTGGCGGGAGCTGACTTGGAGACCCCTCTGGGCTCCCGAAGCTGCTGGTGTTTCAGACACCAAAAGTCAACCCAGTTGGCCAGGATAAGACAATAAGCTTCCCCACAAGGACTCTCTGGAGACTGGGGGCAGAGCGTACTGCGTTGGAGCAGCTCAGGCCTGGTCGCAAGCTGTCCTTTTCTGGACCTGAGGAGCACCCGAGCACCCGTAGAATTTGTAAATCCCAATTAAGCCTGCGAGTGCCTCGCTTGACATCTGTGATTTCCTCCCTCTTCTTAGCTCTACACAAGGCTGGAGTGGAATGGGGAGAGGGAGGGTAGCGCAATGAAGAAATCAAAGGGTGGTGGGGAAGTGACCCTCCTCCGGGCTGCCAGCTGCGGGAAGACCAATTTGGAGAGCCAGGGTGGGCCAACAAAGGTGTGGGACCTGCTGGTGGGTCTCATTTCTCCCGCGGTCCTGATACACTCTAAGCTCGGAGATCCAGGGTTCCACCCTTGGAATTTGTAACTGCCCTTCGCCTGGGTATAGGGAGCTGCAGAGCTTCCTATGCAAGTGTTTCCCCTCTTGGTGAAGTGACGAGCAGCCTCCCTGGTGCCCACTGCAAGGAGATGTGCTTGAGGAGAGTAGGTTCAGGCATGGGATCCAGGGAAGGGAGCAAGGGCTCGGTGAGGCCTGTGAGGAGTAGGCACTGAGCCAGTTTGAGACCCTAGTTTTCTTCCCCTCTTTTCTCCCCCGCCCCCAGGTAGGGTGGCTGAGGCTGTGTTATCACCTGGAATTTTGGGGGGTGGGGAGAGCGAGGACAGAGGGGGAAGGGAGTGGGGTGTTTGGGTCTCAGCTGCTGGCCACCTTGCCTTCCATATGGATGCGGTTATCTCGGAAGAATCTCGATCCTTAAACCTCCTTTTGTCTTGGGAACTGAAAAGGGCATTGTCAGGCCTGAAAAGGACCTAGACAAAATCCGCACTGTTTCAATTCAGGACTCTGTTTAATCAGTCCCTGGTGACAATGTCGTGGGTGTTAGAGAGGACAATAGTATCTTTTTAAAACTTTTTAAACCTTGTGGCCTTCAGGAAGACAAAGGGCTTGAATTTTATGGGCTTACAACTTCAATTAGAACAGTGCCAGTGTGCATGGGAGATTATCAAATTTGTATCATAAAACCTCTTTCTAATAAATGATTGCTGGGGAGGGAGCCTGGACATTGTAAGACTTATATTGGAAACCACCCTAGGGGCTTCCCAGTTAGCCCTGGCAGAACAGATGGGAAAGAAAAGGAGGAAAGGATTTCTGAAGAAGGCCCTGGCTGGGACTTGCCCCTGTGGTCAGCTGGCTGGGTGCTTGGCTCTTCCATGCTCTTCCTCCAGAAGGAGTGTTTTCTCCAAGAATGGAGGTAAAGATCTGTAGCTTTGTTTTCTGCTATTGGTGGTGGCAAAGACCTGAATATTCAGGAGAAAGGGCAAAATCACCACCTGTTCAGTTTCTTGCCTTTTCTTTTCCTGGAGTTACAGAGGAAGTAGGTCTTGGGGTGTGCAAAGTGGAGAAAGCCTACTGAAGTTGAGGTCCATACTGAGGGGTCTGAATCATGGAGCCCCTCTTCCCAGGAGGCTCTTTGGGAGAGCATGTCCTCAGCCAAATTCATCCAGAGGTCCAACCCCGATAAGAAAGAGCTGCTTCCCAGTGAGGTGGTCAAAGCCATAGCAGGATGCCCACCAGCAAGCCAGCTGGTATCCTGGGCAGGAAGGGGGCAGAAATTTCCTGTGACATTAGCATCAGGAGCCATCGTGTAGAAACTGTTACCTGCTTCCTCTTGGTCCTTTCCTTTAAGCCCCTTCTTTTAGAGAGGAAAAACTGCAGGGAAGAGTTAAAAATATATTCCCATCACCACTGACCCATTTTAAAGACTCAGGCTGTCATTTTTCTTCTGTTCACACTTGAGATAAGCTGCGAAAGGTAAATGTCAGTTTTCTGTGTGACCTAGAAGATCAGTTCTTCTAGGCGCTGACAAGAGAAGCTAAACCAAGGCCTCTCTACAGGCAGCTGGGAGAACAGTTAGGCTCTCCCTCCCTAATGAGACTATTTTAAACCTGCTGCCCATGACCAACCAAAGGGGATTCACACTCTATTTTGAAACTTACTGTGTTCCAGACATTGTTCTAGACACTTTCACAGTTCATCTCACGGAAAGCTTAGGTATTGTATGTATCATACCCCCATTTTACAGACAGAAACCAAGGCTCAGTGGGTGGGAGTAAGTGACTTGTCGAAAGCAGTTGTAAACCTCATAAAATGTTATCATCATCCTTTGTTTAACCCACATTTAGCCGCCTTGCAAACCGCCCTAAGGAGGACAATTGTAATTTTGATGTGACAAGGTATATACTGCCCAACCATCATAAACTAGTCTTTTTTTATTTGAAGATTTTATTTATTTATTTGAGAGAGAGCAAGAGAGGGAGAGAGAGCACAAAGGGAGAGGGAGAGGGAGAAGCAGGCTTCCTGCTGAGCAGAGAGCCCAATGTGGGACTCGATCCCAGGACCCCAAGATCATGACCTGAGCCGAAGGCAGACGCTTAACCAACTGAGCCACCCAGGCACCCCCATAAACTAGTCTTATGGATACCTCAGGGCCACTCACAGAAGCTGATCACATGATATCACAGTAGTTTCTAACATTTATTGATGTTTCCTGGATACCAGGCAATATTCTAAGTTCTTTCACTCAATAAACTCAGTTTTCACAACAACCCCATGAGATGAAACTGCTAGCCCCACTTTACAGATGAGGAAACTAAAGGCCAAAGAGGTTATAAGTAAGCCGTCCAGGGTCACACAGCTAGGAGGTGACAGAGAGGGTCTGAACGCGCGCATTCTAGCTCCAGGTCCCGCATATTTCACTCACTGCATGGTGGGAAGGATTTCCCATTCTTTATGTTTTATTTCTCCCAGTTGGTAGTCCTGGTTACCTTACAGATGGTTCTCTAAGAGATGTGTTCTTTAGCCTCTTTCTGTGTCTCTGTTTTTCCCTTCCTCCCTTCTCTCTTTCCTTCCCTTTCCCTTCTCTCCTGTCCTCCACACCTCCAGCTTGTGCGCACAGCATCTGCGTTGCCCCTACGTCTGTCTGTGTGCATTCTTGTCCTGCAATCAGTGAGACACAGCTCCTGTTGCAGGGCACAGTGTTTTCCCGTGACTATCCTTCCACCATTCTTCTTCCAGAAAAACATCTGCTGCTTCTGCCTTGGCACCAGTTGTCCACTCAGCGTTCGGCAGAGTCCCGGCTGACTCTGATAAGCTCCTCTAAGCTTTCCCAACCCCCAGGCCCAGACCCCTGTGGAGCTTTATGACTTTGGCTTTGCTGGCCCTTTCCCTAGTCATCTTCCTCCTTCCTGGGTCTCCAGTGTTATCTTTATTATTAAATATCATCCTCTTCACATTTTCCCTCTTTTCTTCCATTGTAAACACTTTTCACTTCATCTCACTTAAGTCTCTTGTGGGTGGAGATTGCAATTTTCACTTCAATTTTCTTTCCTCATTGTTCAGAGGATCCTACATCTTAGCAAGTCTCTTATCTGACCAATTTAGCACTTTAGAATCTTAGATAATGTGCTACTGATGGGTTAGAAGGAAGTTATTTGAGCCCAGGTTAACCTACACCTTCCCTTCTAACAATGGTGTTTAGATGTTTCTTATTCCCTTGCCTCTTACACACACAATTAACTTGCCTCTTACATACACACATGCACTTTACTGCTTTAAACCATCTTAGACTTAGGAATAAAATGTTCAGGCAGGCTAATTTTGGGCTTAGCATGGTTAAATAGTTTGTTAACCAAGTTTATCTGTTCTATGTGTTTCAGTCAACCAGCCTAGGCAGGTAATCTGTAAACAAGAACAATAGAGAGAGGAGCTTTTGCAATGCTGAGAAAGTAGTCTCCCTCCCCCAGGGCATGATCATTTCTACAGATGTGATTGCATCCTTTACTATTCAAGATCTGCCTGAAAAAATTTTCTTGCTCCGGGTCGTTCATCATTTTTCCAAGTCATATGTGGGAGGGAATTTACTAAATGGTTCCTTAATTATTTTTAGAATTCCAATTCTGCATCGTTTAACTCACCTCCAACCCCCCAATCCAGACTAATAACTGAAGGTATATGACATTCCCCTTTCTCCTTTTTACCCACCATTCATGCTACTCAGTCTATAAGCTCACCAAGAAACAAACAGTGCTCCCTTCAATGCTGACCCATATAGAGTGGGCATTTAACGAGGAAGAATCAATTAGACTATGAAACAGTCACACACATACCCCCAAATTTCAAAAACACGGGGTTCTTATTTTTTCCAACCATGTTCAGTGGGAAGTTTTTATTGTTTATCCAGAAAAGTAGCATCATCATGTTTTAGAGGTAAAAGAACATTTTCTCTTCAATACCCTGCTC